GGGTAGTTTTATTAATAAAAAAGTATATGTGAATTTTAGTAGGTATTATAGATTTAAATAGAGACCCCAAATTTTAGCATGAGCCATTTTCAGCATCAGCTGTAACATTTTATATTCTTAAAAAGTACTATAAACTATATAAATAAGTTATCTAAACAATTGATTTATATTAGCCAATCAGATAAATTTTTGCTTATAAAAACATGTATATAAGAGTTGCTAATAGATTCAAAGTTATTAGTAATTTTTTTATATAATTTGTTAATTTAGAACCTTCTAGACTTCTCTCAAATATATATATTGTTTTGTTATATTGTTTACTTAATTTAGTTTTTGGTAAAAATATATTATAAAATAGCTAGAGATTTTCTTAAAAAACTATATCATTTTAGCTTTTTTTGTTAGTTGTTAATTTATATTCTTTTGTATCTTCTAATAATTTTGTAAAAAAGATATTTGGGCTTAATTTGTCTTTAGTATATTGAGAGAAAGAGTTATTTTTAATGACTTCTTTGAGAAAAGTTTTTATTATTTTGTATTTTTTGTTTAATTGTTTTTGAGATAAAAGTTTTGTAAGCTTTTTCTTTGCTAAAACAAGAGCTTTAACTTTTATTGTCATTAGTCTAGTAATATTTTCTTTCTTTGCTATAGTAAAAATTGTATATATTATAATAGTTCTCTTTCAGATTCATATTATTTCACTGATAGTTTATTTCATCAATATTTATTTTATCTAAATTCATTTTATAGACAATATTATTTTAGTTAATATTATTAGAATTAAGCTAGAATTAAAATTAAAGTTAGTGTAATTTATAAAAAGAACTTGTTGATAAAATAAGCTTTAATAAAATAAATATCTGTAAATATAGTATTTACAAAGTATTTGTTAGTAAAATAATATGAATCTGTTCTCTTCCTGCTCAATGTATACAGAAAAGTGTTTCAATATTTTTTTTTAAATATACACTTTTTATATTTATATATATATTATTCTTTGATATAATATACTGTAATATATTGGATATATAGTGAAAAATTTTTTAAAATCTACTTTATTGTGAGTTTTATTAGTAAATCTATTATTATTATTTTTTTTTTAATATTTAGAGGAGTACCCTGGGTGTAGCACCTGCTCCAAACTTATTTATTAATATTTAAATGAATTGACATATGATGGTGCCGTAAACACTAAATATTATACATA